TACTGAGTGGTCTATCACAGAAACAAAAATGATTATCACATGTTCTCACTCATAAGAGGACCTTGAACAATTATCATAATACTATAAGAAAAGGATTGACAGTAGTGGGAAATTGCTGGGGGAGAGGGCACACCTCATCAACAAGGGTGCCTGCATAATGAACATTTGTATACCTAACCCTGAATTGTACCCCATATCTTTAAAATAAAAAATTCAAATTAAAGAAAATCTTTGGGGTTAGTTTCTATATTTCTCAGAGTCTAGGAATATTTAATTTATATAATCATTATCTCTAAGCCAATTTGTTGTTATTGTTGTTGTTTTTTAGTCAGGGTTTCACTCTGTTGCCTAGACTAGAGTACAGTAGTCTTGAACTTCTGGACTCAGGTGATTCTTCCACTTCAGTCTCTCAAGTAGTTGGGACTATAGGCATGTACCACCATACTGCCTAGGCTGATCTTGAACTCCTAGGTTCAAGCAATCCTCTTGCCTCAGCCACCCAAAGTACTAGGATTACAAGCATGAGACTCTAAGCCTATTTGAATAGAACTCCTTTAAGGGACTTTATAAATTAATTTGGAATACTATCTAAGGATAGAAAAATATCACATATACACAATTTACATACATATATAAACATATATGCACAAACAGAGGTCCTATAGATTTCTATTCTAATATTTTAATACACTTTCATCTTTGATATTTTCATTCAAATTGTGGGTTTTAGCAGATGGAGCAAGTTAAAGTTACCTGTTTACCAGTATTTGTAGAGGAGTGTTTAAGATTTTCTCTTGCCCTGGTATCTAATCTTATGAAGGCTGTGGACTAAATTTTAGGTGTGAGACTGAAAGGACATCAAGCAACTGTCTAGATGTCTCCAAAGCCCATCTAAGTGGATAAAATAATCAGTCTATTTCTATTAGCTTTTTTACTCTTTTAGCCTCAGGTGGTTGCTTTTAGGGGTCTTTCAGTCTCTTGAGAGCACATGATGGGGGCAGGGAACCCAAAGCTCAAGAGACTGTAGGGAAGAAAGAGGTCTGAATAGATAGAGGGGTAGAGGAGGTAGGGGTTTGAAGAGGGACCTACCAAAGGTGTCAAGGGAGCTTGAAGGGAAGATTGAATGTGGTAAAAGGGAGAGAGAGGAGCCAAGACAAGGGCAAGAAAGAGGTCACAGAGGAGCCAGTTTGGGGAGATGTCAAGTTTCCCAAGGAGGCCCTTGGAGTTCCAAATTATCCTTAATAAACCCACGCCAACAAGAAAGGAAGCAGGTAGAGTTATCAGAACATATAGTCAGCAGGAGTTCAAGAAGAGGTGTTTCAGTAGACTGAGAAGCTCGCATTTTCTTAACTAATGGTACCATTATGCTTATTAACAAAGAAACTTAGGTCTCTAATCCAGCTTCTGTTCCTTATAGAACCTAGCCTCTTACAAAGACAGAAACCTGGGACTCTAACCCAGCCTTCCTTGCCCAGCAGCTTCTTATAAATAGCTGCTTATCGGGACTCTAACCTAACTTCTAGAGTATACAGTAAGTCCCCTATATATGAACCTTCAAGTTGCAAACTTTCAAAGATGCAAACATGTGTTCGCATGCCCAGTCACATAAGTTAGTTCACACATCTGGTTTTCATTGTCATGTGCTGAACTGTAAGATTAAAAATGCTTTTTGTTTTTTTCATGTATTATTTGTATGAAAAGTATTATAAGCCTATTATAGTACAGTACTCTACAAGGGGGGACCCCCTAAAAACAGAGTTATCTTTTGGAGGGTAGGTTCCTTGTAGTACACTTGGAATTTGTTCCTCCAGATCAAACAGTCATCCAAAATTTTTATCTGAAAGTTTTGAGAAGGTTGTGTCACAATTTGCAGAAGAAACATTCCAAGTTGTGGCAAAACAGGTGGCTGGTTCTTCTACCATGACAACGCACCTGCCCACAATGCACCAAGTGTTCAGCAGTTTTTGACCAAACATGGCATGACCCCTATGCCTCACCCTCCTTATTCACCCAATCTCACCCCAAGCGACTTTTGGTTTTGTTTCACTGGATGAAAAAAGTCCTCAGAGGGAAAAGTTTTGCTGATGTGAAAAAGGCGAAACAAAAAACAACAGAAGCACTACAAGCCATCAAAATTGATGAGTTCAAAAACTATTTTGAGCAGTAGAAAAAGTGTCTTGACAGGTGAATTTCATCAAATGGAGAATTCTTTGAAGGTGACTGAAGTTTAAACATGTAAGAATAAATACACATTTTTAAGTAAATTCTGATTTTTTAGGTCCCCCATTATATAGCCAATTATGTTAGTAGGTACCTCAGCTAACTTTGTTGGACGTATGAACAAATTGGACTTATAAAATGTGCTCTTGGAATAGAACTTATTTGTATGTAGGGGACTTACTGTACTCAGAATCTTAAGAATCAAAGTCTATCCTTACTGTGTTTTAAATGGACTGTCATCCAGAGCACTGACTCAGGAGTCAGACTCATCAGTGGGCCCCCAATCAGCCAAGTCAGGGGTGGAGATAAAGGGCTCAAAGGTGCACACTAGGGGTCCTGGCGGAGAGGTCTAGGGTCCAATGATGAATCTGATCTTATCCAAGTCATGGCACCATAACTGTCAAAAGACACTGGAATTGGAGAGTCGTTTAAGCAGTAAAAACAGTTTTTATTCAGCACTGTTACAAATAGGAGGAAAGAGACCTCACTATAGAACTGGGCTCAATTCCAAATACAACATAAACAAGTGAGGTTTTATAAATATAGCCAAGAAGCAGAGTGGGTGTCAATAGATAGAAAATTACTAAGAGGAAACATCAAGGATAAGGAGGATTCTTAATAAATTGACCTAACAGGATTCATGCTGAAGGTAGGACAGGTGATCAGATAGCACCTGGGAGATAGTGGAGGATGAGGAATTTGATCAGATATCAAGGTTAATCAGATACTGAGGCTGGGGAAGTTTGGCTAAGTGACTTAACAGGCTTCTTGCTAAAACCAAGCAATGCAAAGACGGACATAGAAGTCTAAAAGTCAAGGCCTAGTCTGGAGGAGGGTTCAGAGGAGCCTGACTAAAGTTTGGTCAAGGAGAGAGACTCTTTGTCACCTGTAGGGTCTGGGCCATTAATAGTCCTGCATGAATTGGATTGTTATAGTTTTCTCTTGACTTTAATCACAGGGCATAGTAGTACTAAGAGATGCCCTAAGGGATCTGCTGTATTCTGGACATACACTTTCTTACCTTCATTGTGAAATAACAGTCCAATGTGCCCTTGGTAGACAGGATCAATCACCCCAACCAAAATTGTACTCTCTTCTTTGCCCTTTGCCCATTGATTCAGAGGCATGAGGAGCCCAAAATGGCCAGGTGGTAGTCTTAACTTGCAGTTCAATGGAATCGTTGTTTGTCTTCTGATAGAAGTATTCCTCTGTTTGGAATTAAGACCTTTAGAGCAGCAGAGCATAAGGTCATGGGGATATTGAGGGGTATCATTCCTGGCCCAGGGCTAACAGGACAGGACCACCACCCCAGTGAGGTCTGAGGGTAAATCATGTAGCCAATAAGGATTATTTTCAAGCCTTGAAATCTAATCGAATTTGCACTTTTAGATTTTAGACTTACTTGGGACCCATGATTTCTTTCTTTCTTTTTTTTTGAGTTGGAGTCTCACTCTGTCACCCAGACTGGAGTGCAGTGGCCACTCCCGGCCACCACAGCCTCGACCTGCTGGGCTCCAGTGATCCTTCCGCCTCAGCCTTCCAAGTAGCCGGAATTACAGGCATGCGCTACCATGCCCGGCTAATTTTTTGGTTTATTGTAGAGATGAGGTCTCGCTGCCCAGGCGGGTCTCGAACCCGCTGGCTCAGGCAGTCCACTCACCTCAGCCTCCCAAAGGCACGGGATTACAGGCTGAGCCACCAAGCCCGGCTGATTTCTTTCTTTTTTATTCCAATTTCTTCCTTTTGGAATGGGAATATCTATCCTATATCTATCTGTCCTACAGTTGCATTTTGGAAACAGATAACTTGTCTGATTTCACAGGTTCACAGATGGAGAGGAATGCTTCCCCAGGGTGAATCATACTCCAGGTCTTACCCATAACTGATTTGGAAAATTCAGATGATATTTGAGACTTGGAGTTAATGATGTTTAGATGAAATCTTTGACTTCAGAGTTGATGCTGGGATGATTAAGATCTTTGAGGATGTTGGGATGGGGTGAATGTATGTTGCACATGAGAAGGACATTGATTTTGGGGGGCTGGACAGCAGACTTTTGTGGGCTGAATTGTGTCTTCCCAAAAAGCTATGTGGAAATCCTAATCCAGAGTACTTCAGAACATGACCATATTTGAAAATGGAGTCTTTACAGAGGTAATCAAGTTTAAATAAGGTCATAAGGGTGGGCCCCAATCCAATGTGATTGGTGCCCTTATAAAAAGGGAAAATTCGGACATAGAGGCATGCATACAGGGAGAATGCCATGTGAAGATGAAGGTAGACCATGCATAGAGGGAAGGCAATGAGAAGACACACCAGGAGAAGACAGTCATGTCACAGGAAGGATGTATTTATAAACCAAGGAATGCCAAGGAGTGCTGGCAATCACTGGAAGCTAGAAGATGAGTAGAAGGATTCTCTCCTAGATCCATCAGAGAGAGCATGACCAGGCTGACACCTTGATTTCAGACTTCTGGCCTCCAGAAATGTGTGAGACAATAAATGTCTGTTGTTTTAAACCACTCAGGTGTTGGCACTTTGTTACAGCAGCCCTGGGAAACTAATACAGAGCCTCAGTGAGGGTGTTTCCATTCTTAGCCGCTGAGACGTCTGGGACATCTGAAGCGTGTGATGATGCCATTTTTGATTTGTCTGAGATTCTTCAGTCCCTTTTCACCTCTGTGATTATTACTCTGTTCCCAATGAAATGTGGTTGTATTTCCAAAGGACAAATGGGAAGCAATGAGCTGGACCCAATTCTCTATCACATCCTATTACAGGGTTTGAAGTTCCCAAACCAGAAGTCATCTTCAAGTTGGAGCAAGGAGAGGGACTGTGGACGTTGCAGGGGGAGGCCCCGCATCAGAGCCGTTCAGGTGAGTGAGTGATCCTGGCAGATGGGGACATGGAAGCAATCTTTTTTCCTGATAAAGGCTGATGCCTTTAAAATGCTATTATTGCGACCCTTCTTAAAGGTTCAAAACTTTAGAAATTGCTTGAGGGTAGATAGCATTGGCCTCTCAGGTACCAAATTGTTCTCTCTTTAGTTCCCCTACTGTTACCAACTGTCTTCTTTGTGTGGCTTTCTTCCAAGAGAGTTGCCTAATTCCTACATTCTGGATCATATGCCAGGCTTCCCCAACCAGGTCTTGCTTTCTTGAATATTCTCTCCTTCCATTACATTGTAATGCTTCAGTACTTAAACCACACCCCCTGAGTCTTAGATTCCTGTCATACGCAGTTAGGCTTTAATGGATTTGCCTTCTTTGAAAATCAGTTGGTTACCTTATTTCTGTTCTTCTGAGTACCTTTTCACATTTTTCTTCCTTTCATTTTTATCTTCTCACTCTAAGATACTAGTAAACTGTCATCTACAGCCTGCCCCACTACTTGTTCTCTTTGTAACTATCTCCTTCAGCTTCCTCACTCCTCTCCATCTTCCCATAGATAGCTTCATGCCTCTGTCTCTCTTCTTCTGACTTTATGGTTGCTATCACTGAGAACTTTTTAAAAATCAATTTTATTAAGGTATAATTTACATAGAATAAAATGTATCTATCTTAAGTGCATAGTTTGATGCATTTTGATAAAGGTATACACCAGTATAACCACCACCCCAATCATGATATATAATGTTCCATCACACAGAATGCTCCCTCATGTCCCTTGTCTTCAATATCCATTTTGGCCCCAGGTAACCATTGACATGTTTTTTTGTTTTTGGTTTGTCACTATAGATTAGATTTGTCTTTATTAAGGTTTCATATAAATGGAATTATACATTATATACTCTTTTGAGTCTAGCTTCATTCACTCAACCTAATGATTTGGCAATGAGTTTATCACTAATTTGTTCCTTTTGGGTACTGAAGAGTATTCCATGGTATGAATATATTGCAGCTTGTTAATCTGTATACCTGTTAATGGATAGGTGGTTAAAATATTACTATTATGAATGAAACTGCAATGAATATTCTGGTACTCTTTGTGTAAATATATGTTTACATTTCTCTTGGATAAATACCTGGGATTGGAATTGCTGGGTCATATAATAAGTGTATAGTTACCTTTATAAGAAATTGTCAAACTGTCTTCCAAGTTGGCTATACTATTTGACAGTCCCAGCAGCAATACATGAGAATTCCTGTTACTGTACATTCTTGCCAACATTTACCATCAGTCTCTTTAATGCTTGCTATTGTAGTGGATGTGTAATGGTATCTCATTATGATTTTAAGTTGCATTTCTCTGATGAGAATAATGATGTTAAGCGTCTTTCTATCAGCTTATTTACCATTTGTATTTTTAAGGTTTAAATGTCTATTCAAATATCTTTCTCATTTTGTACTGAGTCATTTGTCTTATTATTGAGTTTTAATATACGAGGTGTGACAATTAAGTTCGAGAACTCATCCTAGAAAAGGTGCTACATACCTCACTGCTGAATATCACTATAGTCACTTTCTAAGTACTCCCCTTGGCAAGCTATGCACTTATGCCAGCACCTAGTCCACCTGTCAAAGCAATTTTGGGACTCTTTCTGGAATGGCCATAAGAGTTGTCACCCTTGATGTCCTGAATGTCCTCAAAATGTCTTCCTTCAATATTTCCTTTATCTTTAGGTAAAGAAAAAAGTCACTGGGGGCTAGATCTGGTGAGTAGGGAGGGTGTTCCAATACACTTATTTGTTTACTGGCTAAACACTCCCTCACAGACAGTGCTGTGTGAGCTGGTGTGTTGTGGTGATACAAGAGCTCCTTCGGGAACATTTTTGCACACACCTTTCTCATGCCAAGGTTTTCAGTGAAGATTTTTCTAACTTTTTCTCTATCGATGTTTATTTGATCTGCTATGCTTCTTATAGTCAGCCAATGATTTTGACGCACGATTCGATGAATTTCTGCAATGTTTTTGTCATTTCTGCTCATTCCTGGCCATCCTGACCTCTCTTCATCAGTGACACTTTCTGTCCCCTCAGAAAAATGTTTAATCCATCTGTACGCTGCCATTTTCTTCATGGCATTATCTCCATAAACTTGGACTAACATGTCCCTGATTTCACTTCCACTCTTGGCAAGTTTAACAAGAAATGTAATGTTTGTTCCTTGCTCTGATTCAAGCTCCAATGTTTTTGCAACAGCACACAAAAACATGCAACAATAACAATGAACACCACTCAGCAAGACATCACCACGTGTCGACATGAACACAGCTGTGAGACACTGATAATCTTATCAAGTTGTTTGTACAGTGCTGCCAACGTGAACACAGTTCACAGTGGCAATTTCATGAACTTCATTGTCAGGTCTCGTATTTGCAGATACAACTTCTTTACTAGACATATGTATTGCTAATATTTTGTTCCAGTCTGTGGCTTGCAATTTCACTTTCTTATTAGTGCCTATCAAAGAGCAAATATTTTAATTTTGAAGTCTCATTGATCATTTTTTAATTGTTCTTTTTCTGATCTGTTTACAAGAAATTTTTGCCTACTACAAGGTTTTTCCATTTTTTTCTACAAGTTTTATCATTTTACCTTTTTCAGTTTAGGTCTATGATCTATTTTTTTTGTATAATGTCAAGATCAATGTTCATTTTTTTCAATACTGATATCTAGTTCTTCCAGAAACATTTGTTGAAGAGACTTTCTTTTTCCCATTGAATTTCCTTGGCATGTTTATCAAAACCAATAGACTTCATATATGTGAGTTTATTTCTGGATTCTCTTTTCTGTTTAGCTAATCTATTTGTCTGTTTTAAAAGGTAGGTTTTATTATTATTCAGGTATGATGAAGCCAACTGATCAGGAGATAATTTCCATTGAAAAGATAGTTTGTTACTCACAGTTCCCAAGTGGAAGGGGCATACCACACTGTGCAGAGCCACATGGGAAGCACCAGGGTCAGTGAGGAGGTAGAAGGAGTCAGGGAAAGCATGGGCCAGAGCCTTTATAGCGTTTTTTGTGGGAAGGAATGGATGAGGAGGGTAAGCAGGCTAAGCATGTTTAAGATTGGCTAGTCTGAATAATTTCATTGGGTTCCACTATATAAGGACTGTCCCTACTTGCCTTGTACCTGGTGCTGGGGTGATTAGGGCAAGGGGATATAGTAGCTCAACCTGTGAGAACTCAATAAAGGAGGTAGTTGTTGGTATGGTTTGCATATGAAAGGCATGCTGTCTCTAGGAATTAGCTAGTCCTGTGATGGGCAGTCTCTCTAGGATCAGCTAAGCTCCAGATATCAGAGCATCAAAAATACAGTAAATAAGAAAATATAGTTAATATATTATCCTTTTGGCAAACCCATACTATCTTTATTACCGTAGCTTTTATAGTAAGTCTTCACATTAGTGAGTATAAGTCTCTCATCTTTGCTTTTTAAAATTACTTTGGCTCTTGTAGATAATTTGCATTTTTATATAAATATTATAATCAGTTTGTAATTTTTACAGAAAGCCTATTGGGATTTTGTTTGGAATTGAGTTGGCTATTGACTCTGTAGATCAATTTTAGGAGAATTTAAATCTTAATATTGAGCCTTCTAATCCATGAACATGGCATATTTAGGCAATCATTTCTATTTTAATTTCTTTCATTGGGGTTTTATAGTTTTTGGCATTGAGGTCTTATGCATCCTTTATTAAGTTTATCCCAAAGTACTTGATGTTTTTGATACTGCTTTAAATGCCATTGTTTTAATTTTATTTTTTGATTATTTGTTACTAATATAAATAAAATAAAACATGTTTTCTTTTTAGATTGTTTAGATCACTAGTATAGTACTTTGCTAGTGATTGGCTGCATTGCTAAGTCCACCTATTAGTTTTCTTATAAGTTCCTGAGGGGTTTTCATGTAAATAATTATTATCACCTAAAAATAGGGACACTTTTACTTCTTCCTCTCCAGTCTCATGCTTTTAATTTATTTTCTTTATTTTACTATCTAAATCTTTCAGTTCAATGATTAATAGAAGCAGTGAGCATTGTTTGGGTATGGATAGGGTGAGGGTGGATGGATGGAGGAAGAGGGGCACTGGAGCCAGCATGCCAGAGGTGTGCACTGGTAACCCAGAGATCTGAGTAATGCAAAGAATTGCAACACACAAAGAGGTGAAAGAAAAGATTTATTTAAGAAAAGTTCACTCCCCACAAACAGGAAGCAGGCCTACACTCTGGATGAGTGTGGCCCTGGTGGGCCTACACTCTAGATGTGAGTGGCCCTGGAGCCCCCCCCACGCCCTGCCCTGGCTTAAATCCTTTTCCTTAGAGATGTTGCAATCAGGTAGACATGACTGTCATGACTTCCTTATCAACCACCTGAGAATGTCTTGGAGACCCTGTGACACAGAGACCCATTAATGTCTGTCCACATTATCATAGCCCCTAGAGAAAGGCATGACAAGTATTCTAATGCTCCTGCACCTTCCCAAACGACATTCCTTAGAGCTAATGGAGGGTGCACTTCCCCTTATCTCCTATGCATTCCCAGTGGGTAGTTTCTGGGGATCCTTGACTTCCCTGTAGATAGCGCCCAATCTACTGGAAGACTGAATCCCCACCTGCTCTCCCTCTGAGGGGTCACAAGTCCTATGATCTGCATAACTTTTATAATTACAAGTTTTTTGACTTCTACAATCCTTGCCCAATGCATGATGTCTTAGGCCTTGTAAATTCCCTTTGCTCTAGGCAAGCTTGATTGCCACTATGAGATACCTCTG